TGATCTGCTTAATCTATTTAATTTATTTAATTTATTTAATTTATTTAATTTATTTAATTTATTTAATTTATTTAATTTATTTAATTTGCTTAACCTGCTGAATCTATTATTTTTAACTATTTATTATATAATTCTAAATCTATTTAAGAATCTTTTTATTTTTAAATTTTTTTATAGTTCTTCGAGCTATATCTTGTCTATAAATCTAAAAATAGTCTAATTAAATAGCTAGTTAAAAATAAGAGAATAAGTTATTAAAATATTACTAGTTTATTATTTATTTTATTATTCTGTTTGTTGTTGCCTGTATCTGTTAGTTTATAATTTAATAGCAGGTTTTTCTTTAAGTTTAATTTATAATATAAATAATTTAGTTTTTTTAGATAGAAAATAAGAATATAATAGATTATTTAAGCTGGAGTAAGAAGAAAAATAATAAAATAAAAATAATATATTTATTTTTAGTAGTCTAACTAGTAATAAATATATAGTTTTTTGGTTATTATATAGTATAACTAAAATATATAATCTAAACCGAACTATAATTATATATATTTATATATATTTCTTACTGTAAAAGCAACAGTTTTATAAAAAATTAAATTTTATTAATATTATTAGAATTTTTTAATTAATTCTTTTAAATAAAGATAGAAAAAATACTAATACTTTTCTTAATTATTATTTTCTAATTTAAAAAGCTTATTTCTGTATACTTTTAGGCAATAGTTAAGATAATCAGATTAATAACTATTTAATCTAGATATATCTTAACTGTATTAAAGCCTAAATAGATATAGCGGAAGAATTTTAGTACTAAAAATAATTAAAATAGTTAACTGTCTATTTTTTAGCTATACCGCGGTTAGGTATAAAAATTTTCTTAACCTGGTTATAACCTGGCGGTCAGGTATAAAAATTCTAATTAACCTGATCTGACCTGGCCGTTAGCCACTCTAGCCACTCTAATTAGTTTTTAATTTTTTATATTTCATATATATTAAAGATGTTCCGGCTATTAATTAACTGGCTTTAATATTATTTTTATATATATAAGAATCTAAAAATTAAAAAAAGTAGAAAAAATATTATAAATAATATAAATTTAATAGATATAAAGTCCTTTAATAAAATATTAATAAAATTAATATTCTAAAGAAAAAAAATAATAAAAAAAAAAGAACTTATAATCTAAAAAAAATATAAAAAAAGATAGATTCTAGTTATTTAAGTATTTATCTAAACTGCCGGCTAAGACGGTAAGCTGCCCAGCCAATGGGAGGCCAGGCACTCTACAGATGTTCAACCCGCGCGATCGGTGGGGGCCGCTATGACTACGGTGGGCTACTCGTGCCAATTTGCAATAACTCCAATTCTGCTGGCAGTACTATATTAGCTTTTTAAGCCTGCTTGGCCTCAACAAAGTCATAGAACTATAAGTTATATTAGGGTTATTAGGGCTATTAAGGTCTTAGGATATTTTAGGCCGAAGGTATTGTTACATTAGGGTTCTTAATTAAAGAATCTTGTATATAATTTTTATGTTAGATTATTTAGAGAAAAAAGCGGTTTATTAGACGGTAAGGCTATAATTTTAGAGAAATACTATAGAAAATGGGGTTATTGCAAATTGGCACGAGTAGCTTGCCGTAGCTATGCGAGTTTCCGGGGGGTCCCCGTACCCGATGTGCCCTTGCCCAATGTCAATAATACCGAGCAATTTTTGGCAGGTCAACGGCGGCGCTGGTGGCGCACAGTCGGGTTCATGGTCGCCAAGTTATCGACCCCGGTTCTGGCGGTGGTGGCCGCCGCGTGGTGGAGTCGGAGCCGGAGGGCGACGTGGCTTTGGTCTCGGTGGTGAGGAGAGCATACTAGGAATAGATTACTCGCAGACTTGGACAAGACGTAAGATAAATGGGTTATATGGGAGAATTCCCCGGTCTGGATCGTTTCTGTCTTGTAATCCTGGATATCACACAGAGGTGCTGTTGGTAGTGCCTCAAGGGGTGGAAGGTATTCTAAAGATGGGCTAACCGGTTCTGAGAACCGTCTAGACATGTATGGCAAGATACAAGAGCAAAAAGAAAAATGACAACAGGCATGCCAGTTTAGTTTTCTAACATGAGTACGGGGTTTAGAATGCTACCCACGGGCTGAACAAAGAATTTGTTCGCGGAAGGTAGAAAACAGAGACAGGAATGAGTCACCAGTCGGATTCTCAACTCATACCCGAGTCAGCCCGCTGAGCCTTCGCCTCATGCCCAGCATTAACCTCAATCAATCGCATCTCACTATCCCTGGACTGACGAAAAGACCATTTGGTCTGATTCCAGAGGCCATGGAAGCAGAAGCCTGGATGGAGCACGGTCAGAGAGATGACTGCGATGGCAATCATTGCCCCCTCCAGAGTCATGAAGAGCGCTTCGTTATTGGCCAACGAACTATGGAATCCCCCTTTCAGCTCTGCGACTCGGAACACCGATCGCACAAAAATGGTCACGGTGGCAAGAGCCAGCCCTGGGAAGATTCGGTAAGCATTTTGCGCAGGATCAGAATACGAAAAGTTGTGCTTACCCGCCAGGAAGGCCTTCCATCGAGAGCTATGGCGAAGACCACGCATACGCGTCTCGGAATTCAGGTCATCCGAGTTCTTGTACACCCGCCATGCATAGTCGAGATAGAGGGCCATGAAGAGGGCGAGAGAAGCCACCTGGCTAGCAAGCCCGGCTATCATGATGTTGATGCCATCCTGGGCGAGATCGTACTGATCGGCATCTGCGACTGAGGTGATGGCGCCGCCTGCTGCCTGTAAGATAAGCGATATCAAGTCGCAGGCCACAAAGACGATCGTGTACGTCTGTGGGCGGAGGCGAGAGATGCTCTCTCCGTAGCCTTTGACGATACGGCCCAGGCAGATGTAGATGGACGCGCTGAGGAAGGCCGGGCCGACGGTGAGGCAGATCAGGTATCTGGTATTATGGTCAGAGCTAGGACAGGAAGCTGGGGACAAGGAGCAGTTGGGCGGGAGAAGACAAACGTACTCAAGGTATGGGCTGAAGCGGAACGGGTTGGCATGCAATTGAATACGTCCGATATACCCGATAATCTCGAGGACGAGGCCGCCAAAAAGCCCGGCCAAGTAGCCCCACGTCCGGTAGCGCACGGCCAGAATCAGTTGAGCGCCCAGTAGCACGGCGAATAAAGCCAAGTAGAAAGCATTACCGGCCAATGATGGGACATAGTATACGTAGGCCTCTGTGATGGGGCAGATTTCTAAAGTGCAATAGTCGGAAGGATCGGTTGTATTACTCATGGTGGATGATTAATGAAAACACTGTATGGAGGAAAGGTTAGGGCTTCAAGTGGACGATACTTAACCATAAAGTTGGTAGTTTAAAAGTCAGCAGGCACCAGCACTTCAAGGTGGGTGGGAGTCTTGTCCGTGTCCATGTCCGTATGTGCCTTCTGCATTTCGGAGGTTGAGTCTGTGACAATACCGTTACGTAGATCTACCATCAATCTCCAGTGGTATCTGGGTATCTCGTGGCCACCCTTGCCAAGGATTTCAGGAGATTTAGCTGCAATAGATTCGCTCGCTTAGTGGAGATACGGACACGGACACGGACACGGACAAGGATAAGGACAAGGATAAGGACAAGGACAAGGACAAGGACACACACAATCTATCTGAGCCACCCATTCCCATAGCCCTCTGATCCTGTACAGTACCCTCTTTCTCCAAGCTCAGAGATCGAACTTCGATCGTCCTCTTTTGTCTGTCTTGAGCTGGAGCACCGGCGTGATGCTTCGGAGTGAGATATTGAAGCGGCAGGCCATGAAGTGCTGGTCTTTGCTTCCACCTCTTTTCTGGTCTTCTAGCCTCGAGCCCATCGTGATTCGAGCACGTCGAGGTCCCTTCCTGACCTGTGTCGCGTTCTACCTCCTCATCTCTTGCCTGTCATGGCTGGCTAATGTCATTCAATTCAGCACAGCGCTACATGAGAGTCTCCTCGCTCCCGAGCATCTTGCTCCAGAGCCCACCCCGGCAGTCAGGCTGCAAGCAGCAGCCCTGACGACCCATGACCACCACTGGCCAGGCATCCCGGCGTATGGTATGGCCTTTGCCCGGTCGGGCACCCATGGTGGCCCGCCGTGTGTTGGCCGTGTGGCTACGGTCAGTTGGTGACGCGCCGACTAGAATCGCCATCGTTGCTGCGGCGCTTTTGACAACACAGAATCAGGGAAAGCGTTCTTTGTGCGTTGCGTAGGGCAGACGCCGCGTGGGGATGAAGTCGCCGTGGCACACCATGTCTTCGAAAAATTGGATCGGTTGGGGGGGCGCGGGCTTGTCCCTGGCGGTCATGGCCCTAGTCATCTTTGGTCTTCATTCCAGGCCAAGGACTGTGACACATGTACTGGTATAAACAGCTGTAAATTAAACATTTCAAAAGAGGGAGTCTAAACAGATTAGACTCCCTAGGTTGTGGAGCACGCCCGTTATCATTCGCTATTGTTTCGTTTGGGATGACTAAAAGTCTCTAACCTCTAACTATAGGCGGGAAATGTACATACAACTATATTCGAAACTATAACCCCCTGTGAAGCTTTTTGTCTCTCGAAGATATTACTACTAATCGATCGAATTATGAAATATCCCAGAGCCTCAGGTTGGCAGTTTTAATATTTAGATTAGAATCAGCTCTTTATAACGCTAATATTTAAGAAAACTTAGATTATACTGATATAGATACACAGGGTTAATGGATTAAATAGGATTTGAAGTATGGAAAAAGCTACAGGTAAAAAGCAGCCTCACCATTAGGCACTACCTTACCATATTAGATACAACATGCTTTACAATATCAACGGAAGATGCTTTGTATATCTCAATACTGTCTAACCAGATGGGTCTAATTACTCAATTTTTCATAAAAGCTTTATCTTTCATGGAATCCAATATTGACGGGCGCGGATGACCACTTACTTACCGAATACACTATTCAAAATCCCGTGGATCCCTGCGCGATCCAATCGGCAAACATGTCGTCAAAGGCAGGGCTGGGGAACAACCCCGGCCACTGAAAATCAAAGCCCTCACGCGAAACTGCATCATAGCCACTCAGTTCTTCTTCGCGGGGGGGATGCGAGATGCTGGCACTCGACGAGGGATCGACGGCCGCCGGCAGGCATTCGAGAGGCTGTGATCGTGACAAGCTCCGACTTTCAAACCACCACTGCGCCCGCTTGAGCCGCTTCTCGTGGTGATAGAACACATCACGGTCGCCGCGGGCGTCCATCTGAGAGGTGATCAGCGCCTGGATCCGTATGATACACCTGCTCAGCATGTTGGAGAGGTTGAGCGCCCGGGTCAGATCCACCGTGTGAGGATGGATCAGGGGGTCCGCCGCGGCAATGACCAGCTTGCAGGCCAGGGTCACGGCGAACCCGAGCTGAACCCAGCCTGCGTTATTGAAGGCGACCTCCCGACGGAGGGGAAGAGACACATAGAACTCCAGCAGCGTGCGCGCCGCGGTCAGCCCCAGGCGGAGGGCTTCGATCTGGAAGGGCGAATCGTGCTGGCGATGCTGGGAGCGAGGCTTGTAGTCGAACAGTGTCACCTGGCAAAGGTAGAGCTCTGCCGTGTGGTACTGCATCAAAAGAAGATCTGACCCAAGTCAGTTCGGTAATCTCGAAGTTCCGGTCGCCCCGCGTGGGTCACCTACGGCTGTCGGTGAGCGGGAAGGGGAGCTGGGCGAGGTATAGATCCAGCTCAGACCGACGGTCACGGTAGCACTGTTCGAGTGCATCTGCGTCATAGGGCTCTGAGTTATGCTGCGATGAGGCTACAATTATCCTTTCGGACAGGCGCTGCAGCTGGATGAGGTGCAGCAGGTGCCGATCCGAGTCGTATTCAGCGGTTGATGCCAGGAACTCGCATGACGTCTCAAGATACGGAATGAAGGAGAACGAAGAGCGTTTCTGGAGGATTTGTGAGATGCTATGAGGACATTAGCTGGCTCCCATAGCCATAAAACGGTGTGCTGCTGCTGCTGCTGCTGCTGCTTCCACAGACCTGGATGAAAACCAGAAGAACCCGATCACCGCCCTTCTCTCTTCTCTTCCCCACGAGATCTCCCGGTCGAGCTCCCCGTTGAAATCCACCCTGGTTCTCCAGAATCGATCCTCGGGGGCGCGGTCAAGCTGAAGGTCGGTGATGATGCTGATAGCAAGATGCAAGTACTGGGAGAATCGGCGGGGCCGCGAGTGATACTGGCACCTTCAGCCCGGTCAGAAATGATTGAAACTCCCACCCCTCGGGGTGTCCTCACCACGCTAAATGAACCAACAAGCCCTGAAGCGTCTCGAACGAAACCGGGCCATCGAAGATCATGCAATTGCTGATCGCGTGCTTGACCTCAAGTTCCAGTGTCCGTTGCAGGGGCATATTGTCGTACAATGCCGCGGTAAGAATGGCCAGGAAGAGAAAGGGCTTGTCCCTCCGCAGTGTAGCTGCTGTCGCGTGCGGAGGGACAACGACAAACGGACAGTACGGCATCAGCGTCCTCCGATAATCCTGCAGCAGCAGGCTTGCGGCCTCAATGGTCAAGAGTCCCTTGTCGATCACATCCTCGATTGGACCAGGGGTGCTAGCTGCTGGGCTTCTATCTTCAATACTGGCTTGCGCCAGGAGGCGGTCCAGCTTGGCTTCGAGCGCGTCGATCCGGCGGTCCTTGCTATCGCTTAGACGGGGAACTGCGTTTGCTCGTCGCCCTGGGTGAAAGTGGCATGTTTTCCCCAAGCGTTCGCAGCTGGTGCGGATTAGTCTCTCGATGGGCAGCTCTTGGAGGTCATTGCCACGGCACCAACCGGTCGCAGCTCTCGGTGGGAACGGAGCGTATGCATCGGATCTTGGCTCGGGCGCAATTTTGACAGGTCCGCAGAGAGCCGTTGGAGTAGCGGCTGGCTCGGGTATGGTCGCTCATCTCTTAGCAATGGGGTGGTTAGGTCTCCAGATGCTGGGTTCAAGGGTGAGATATATCAAGTTGTGAGATTTTTGGGCGACGAGGAAGAGGCACAATTTAGTACTTAAATGCGTACAGGCGGGGTTGGGACTAGACAGGGTATAACTATAGAAAAGTGGCTGAGCAATAATGCGAAATGCGAGAGACGCAGACCTACATAGTACAGGCTGTACGGTAATGTACTGTGCCACGTAGTACGTTAGATTGGATCAGAACAAACTTACCGAATCCTAAGTTACGACTGTTTTCTATTTGTTGAAACAACAACTTCGGCTTTGATTTCAGAACGCCGCATCGAAGATATAGATCTAGATATATGCCTCCTTGGTCTTCAGCGGACTATCCTTCCCGACCCCGACTTGTACCGTCCTCACCAGGTTCCTTACCATGATGAGCCCACACACCACATACAAGACCCAGAATCCCCGTTTCCAGTCCCTCATCAACATCACGGGCCTTCCGTCCCCCTCGACTGGGATAAATCCTCCCATCCCTTCCTCGTCGTCTCTCTTCAAACGCCAATGGATTAGCGCAACCACCCAAACAAATCCCACAAAGACGACTAGCGTGGTCATTCGACTGTTCCCGTCACTGATTTACTCCTGGTAAAGATTCATAAGACTCGGAAGAAACTTCCCATGAACCACTGACTTCTAAGCGCAAATACACTACACTATTCTGCTATATATAACGGATGCCCCGTGATGTACCAACATATATGTTGGTAGGGCATCGGGATCCGTCGGCAACTTGCCTGTTTCGGTAACATTCGGAACAAGCGTGACCGGAGATCCTCACGCCGGGCAAAAGGGCTGCACGATTGGCAATTATCCAGCTTGTGTTGTGAATGCGACAGAACCCAGTCATGTTCAGAGTGCTCTGTCCTTTGCGAAGAAACACAATGTCCGCCTCAGAAGAACACCGGGCATTGGTCGGTGTGCATGCCGGATGACCAGGTCCTGGAGCATAGTAAAATTCGTGAAAGCGCCAAACGGCTCCTCGTTCTCGGCTTGGTAGTCAGTAATTGTCTCATCAAAATACTCGTCCACTTCCAGACGCAGGGTCTTCAGCGTCTGTCGAGAGGGAAGAAGAGCTTCCCGGAATTCCAATGCATCGAAATCAGTCCACCTATCGTCGCGATGAACGGAGAGCTGGAACGCAACGTGCTCGAGATCGGGGCTCGCCTCAAGCCAGCGGAGGATCGTGTCGGAAGAGTAGACCTTCTGAAAAGCGATTTCTTTCACGCTGCATGCTGGCCGGTGAACCAGAAGCGGCAAGTCCACAGTCCCTCCATCCGCCCCGATGAAGCTGCCACTTATCCGGCGAACGGCGGGGAAATAGAAAAAGGGCGTTAGGAAGGACCCGTAGATATAAGAATCGCCCCAGCCGCAGTTCGCGCGAACTTCGTGGAGATGGGGGGAATGGAAGCCTTGCTGGGTTGTGGAAAGGAGGCTGGTGCTGCGCAGCCTTGAGAAGAATCGCTGAGACGAGATGGGAAGCACACTCATGCGTGAACTCTATGGTGCGTAGATTGGCCAGGGGAATGAGCAGAAGCGCAATCCATGCCTGCCGGCACATTCCGTGCAAGTGCTTCCTAAAGTGCCGTTTGGAGACCTCGTTCTTCTGGGCTCTCAAAAATCGTCGCGAGGGCACGATCAATGAGATGAGCCACTTTATCCTCCAGTGGGTCGAATTCGTCGTCAGAGGATTCATACTGGTACTCTGGCTCGTATGAATTCATGACGTCCAAGCTACAACGATGACATTCCGATTTCGAGGGGCAAAGTTCTAGATGACGCACCTGGCTCGCGATTAGGGGATCTTCCCAGAGCTGGACCACCAAGTGAACATCACGGATAGAAAAGCCATTACACCCAACTTGGAGGTGGGAATAAAGTAATGGTCGAAAAATCGCATGGAATTTCCGAGAACTGCCTATATTCTAGGGAACCACACCCCCTCTTGCATAAAGTCTTGGCGCAGATCTTGGTAGTGCCAGCACATCCTATCTTGCGCGTTTCAGCCCGCGCTAGCCGCCAATACGAAAATGGAAATTTCCCGTTTTTCTTCGCTTTCACGTGGTTGCAGTAGTGGGCATGCTAGGCTGTATGCAGCTAGTTGCGCGAGGTTGCACCAGCACCTGTTGTGCTCGGACCCAGACATATGGCAGCAGCTCTCCCGCTGATCACTGTTAGTCCAATTCAATGCCCCTTGTCAGTTTATGTTTGTCATTGCTGGAATCTTGAGCGCCTTGTCTGGGCAACGAGGCTAGTCCCTGGGCTCCTACAACAGTAAATAGAGTGACCACTCTTGTCCCTTTTTGTTCCTCTCATCGAGGAAAGACAAGGGCAAGACATGAAAGTGGGTCTGTGAATGCTCGCCGTACAACCTCTGGGATCTTCGGCAACAATCATTCAATAAATGCTCGTGGAGATTCTACAATATCTTGAAGGATGCTTAGATCCCTGCGGTTGATAGGACTTGACAGGTACTACTACAGCTTAAAGGTAACGCTGGTGGCAATCTGCTTATCCTGGGGGGATTCACCCCGCATTGCAATCGTTCATTGAAATGCCTGATGCGGCTACAGAGGACGTTTTCTGGCGGCACTGCAGAGCAAATTGACGATTGTTTTTTCAGAGAGTGCATGCGCGTTCTGACCCGTACACAGCCTGCCAGCGCCAGTGCAATCACAGCTATTGGCGCACAGATGGCGATTACTACCTTATCTGCGCCCCAACGGGTACGGTCCGTTCGTCTGTTCTGGCTGGGCTGGGCTCGTTACGAGAAGTAAGCCGGGCTGGTAGTCGGTAATTGATAAAATGCCAGTTGATGTCGTGAACTCACAAGAGTCATGGTCAGGGTAAGTGATGTACGGCCCGGATGTTGTTGTCGGCCCGCCCGGTGATTTGCTACACCCAGTAGGTCCCATCGCACAAACGTATCCACTGAATTGAGTATATCAGCAAGGCGTGGCGTGCAGTGATGGGTGACATGGCGGTTGAAGCCTACTACTAACCTGGGGCAGCACTTGTATGCCGTCTCCCCAAACTGCAAGACCTCCCACATTTCCTACATCGTCGGGTCTGCGAGGTCCGAGCTAAGCTCCATCCCTCGAGTCAGTTGGCAGGCTGTCGTGAATGGAGATGGAGTCCCCGGCGGTATAGCAGATGAAAGGCAACTTGGGTCATCTTGAATCAACAGAGCGAGAGCGTCCCCGTACATTGCGGTGGTGCAGTGCTTGCCATACACGTATGCATATGGGTGGGAATCTGAAATCCGTGAGCCACTGTGAATGGGCTGAAAACATTGGGGTGTTGGTGTGAAGGTCGTCGTGAGAGGACCGAGATTTGTAGTGGGCCACACGGTGTATGCATCATAAACGCCATTCCGGGTAGTTGACATGCTGATATCCCTCGTACCAAGATCAAGGGTCAAGGACGAATCCGCCTAGAGAAACACTGCTTACGGAGTACAACTCTCTTCAAGCTAGAGCAATGTTACTGGGCCTGTTATTGGGTGGAGAGCGGTAGAGCGGCGCCTAAGATACCTATGATATGATGGCCCCCAAATGCAATCACCCGTCCCGCTTTCACCAAACCCTCTCAACCAATAGGATTAAACCTCACAGCCCTGGAGTCACATCATCCGGCTTATTCCTTCGGTCTAAATTCTCCTCGAAATTTATAATTTGAAGCGCCCCCCCTAAGGTTCAATTTCCCATCTTGCCGTCCTTGGCCTTACATGCGTTTCCCAACCTGCTACCTGCTTTTCCGCCTTCTAAGGAGGAGTTCTGTGGCAGAGATGCCCGAAAAGGAGAACCTGAGGCAACGTGGAATAAAGATGAACCCGATTGCAGGTTTTTCTGCAGTGTCCCATCCCTTGCTCGCTTCGGAAGAGAACCTAGATGAGGGGGTTGTCCAGTCACCGATTGATAACAGAGAGACAAAGACAGCGCGCAGCAAGCCGATAACCCACCGTGGTAGGAATTGGTTCCAAGGCTGGAAATTCACCATTTTTGGAGCCTTCACAGCAAGCTTGATCGTCCTGTTCTTCAACTTGGGGTTTCTACTTTACTGTGTCACCCATTCAAAACATGATGCCGTCGATCTTTATCCGATCGCAGAGCAAGATGCCTATCGAGCGCAGATAAAGCACCAGATCGGCACGCTTCTTTTCGAGGGTAACTGCGCCGAAGTGCATCGCTTGAGTACAGGGTTCCACCTTGTGATAAACATCTTGAGTACCACTTTGCTGAGTGCAAGCAACTTTGGAATGGTATGTGGAAAGATGCCCCATTCAGACGTCCCGGAATGTGCATTAGGGTGCTCAAAGTTTCATGCAGCAATGTTTAGCCGCACCAACACGGCATTATATAGACCGAGCACACGCAAATGGCCGCTGGTTTGATGTTGGGGTTCCGAGTATCCACAACCTTTCGAAGATATCCAGGAGACGCTTATGCCTATGGCTATGCTTGGCGTTGTCATCTCTACCGTTCCATCTTATGTACACTTCCTCCTTGCTGCCCAACTTCGAATTGTTGCTGAGCTGGAAATTACAGGTACAACTCGGCCATCTACTCCACAACGTCAGCTACCGCCTACGATATCTTCACCGGCCCAGATTCTCTGGGGCAACAAGAGTTTTCCAGCCTGAATTTGACCTATTTCTACGATTTGGATACGGGGAAAAACGCCTCTTTCCATGAACTCTACTTCTCAGCCAAAAATGGGAGCTTGCACCGCCTCAGCAACGATGAATGCATTGCTGCATTTGGAGTGACGTTCCAAAGTGCGTACAAAAGATTACTGCTCGTCACCGATGATCCTGGCAGCAACGATACATATGAATTTGTCTACGAAAATAGTGTCTACCTTCCGATTTTCAACACAAGACCAGGTACAAGCCCATATGCGTGGATATGTGCCAACCCATTGCAAGAAACTCATAGCCTCTGTAAACGTTCGGACTCGCTTGAGATTCTCCCGAGATCACTCAACAATGACTGGCCAGTTGCTATCCCAAATGCTAATAATGTGGCTTCTGATACTATCGTCGATGTCCAATATTGCATGGCGGAGGCGAATGACGGGTATTGCAAGCTGCAGTATTCATTCCCGCTGATGATTATCGTGATAGCGTTCAATTTGGTCAAGAGCAGTATTCTAGCCTACATGTGGCTCGGGATTAGGAACGCCCCCATCCTGACTATTGGAGATGCCATTGCGTCTTTCTTACATCGTTCGGATCGCCACTCGCGGAGAGGCTGTCTTTTGACCGGCCGCGAGGCTAGCTCGAGGAATACGCCGACCCAGCCCTTACATGAACCGAGAGCATTTCGAGACACGCGGTTAATATGGAGCAAGGCCGCTTCTGGTCGCCGATGGGCATTGAGCATAATACTTTGGCTGACAGCAATCGCCGTCTGCGTCGGGCTGTTGATCTACGGACTGAGCGCGGCGGGTGGAACGTCATCGATCGACTGGCAACAGGCGCTCGGCTCGTCCACTTCAAAAACCATCATATACGGCGATAACTGGCCAAGCTCCTTGACATCAAACGTGCTGATCGCCAACATGCCTCAACTCATTTTCTCATTCCTGTACTTCGCTTTCAACGCGCTGATTACGACGATGACACTGGCCGCTGAGTGGAGCGGCTATGCCCAGCAGCGAAAGGGCCTCCGCGTCTCACAAAACCCGCAGCGAGAGCAGAGGACGAACTACTTCCTCTCCATCCCGTATCGCTATTCAATTCCCTTACTGATCACCTCCACCCTCTTACATTGGCTCATCTCCCAGAGCTTATTTATGATTGGAGTCGAAGCGTTTGGAAGCGATGGGTTGCGCGCCGCTGCAAACGATTTCATCACCTGCGGCTGGTCCCCGGCGGGGATCGTCGGTTCTATCGTGGTCGGCTTGGTGATGGTTTTGGGCGTGATCTGTCTTGGGCGCCGGCGTTTCGAGTCTGCCATGCCAGTTGCATCGAGTTGCAGCCTCGCGATTGCGGCGGCATGCCATCCGTCATTTGATCCGAACATTGACGACGAAAGTAGAACCAGGTACGACGGAGAAAACCGGGACTCAGAGCTAGAGGAGGAAGACAGGTCACTCGCACGAGTCAAATGGGGCGCTGTGCCAGTCAATGGTCCCATCGGTCATTGCACATTCACCGATGGCGACGTCGAGATGCCTCGGCGGGGAGAATTATACCAGTAGGCATGCCGGTTGCAGGTCTCTCTGCATGCTGCCCTACTCTCGATTACTGGCTTTTGGCTACATCTACAATACCGACAAGCAGATTATGAAGGACTTTTTCTAATCAACGAAACTCATCCATGTGATGGCTTTACGACTAGAAACAGGAAATCAATTTCGCTTCTCGAAAAATACAAGAGGTCCTTCATTCCGCTCTAGTGCGAAGCGTATTTCTTCCGATATGTGCAGCAACTGACCGGAGTTCCTTAGCGAGGCGATCTCATGCTCGGGAGTGGTGTCAAGGTGGCTCATAACCAAGACGATCACCGAGTCCTTCCAAAGAATAGCAAGCCGGCGCCTTTTGTTATTCTCAGTAAACCAAAGCCATTTCCCTTGGCTAAGGGCACTGGATAACAGGGCCAGCGGCGCCGCGCAAGTCGCTGTGGTAAGTACGGCCACCAGACTGTTGAGTGTCAACGCGCCGAATGGCCATGCCGTAGCCGAGACACCATCGTAGTGGTGGAGGATCACAATCGAAATCGAAAATGAGCTCAGAGACACAAAGGCGGCTAGAACCTCTGGAGACCGGGTTATCCCATCGTACTCTCTAGGGGATTTGAGGATCTGGGAGGCGCCAGGTCCTGTTCTCCGTTGTTGGTGCTCATCGCTGTCTTTTGCAGAGGGAATAGATTGAGCGGGGTCTGACTGGCTGGATTCAGTCATTGTGTAGAAGAAAGAGGTGAAGGAGAAAGAGGAAACGGTGGGGGTATGCAGCGTGAAGAGGAGTGGGGAAAGAAAGATACGACAGGTAGCGTAAATATCATGGATGTATTGCTTGAATCGTTCCGAGCACTTTTGGCCCCCCACCTGTTAACAATCCATTTTGTCAACCCACCATTGTCGTGCCCACTACGCTAATGGGCTTGGTCGGCTTTGGCCTAGTCAGTGGACGACTCTTTAATTGAGTCTGCATGGAAGCTTTCGGCTCATCGTCTCTTCAGCTAGGGCCTGGGCTGTGGCGCACGGAAATGAGAAGCCATGTTTTGAATAGGGAGGCAAACTGAAGAGGGTGGCTCTGGTTTCTCTGGTTTCCTCGGGACCACGTCTTTACGTCGATAGCTCGCTAAAAATTATATTGTTGTCGCATTAGACAGTCTCAGTTGATTTCGCCGTTCGCCATGGCCCACAAACCCCTGTCGTTCTGACTCATAGCCCCCGCTATGTCCAGGCCATGGGATTGAAGGATAGAATAGACCCCTTGACACCATAAGAACATATCCCTATCACCACAGTCAATGTAGCATTTACTAGCTTGAGAAGTTGCAACCATCACGGCGTGCCCCGATGACATCTGGTTGCTGGGTTGCATGCAAAATGCTACCGCGCGGCATATCTCTCCGGCACATTGACGCATACGAGTAGCGTCCGCACATTTGTTAATGGTCTTTTCAGCTTGGTAGACACATCGGCGAAGTACCGTGCGTGCTATCCAGAAGAGCAGGAATATTTTCGCATTACTCAAGGCTCGGAATCTATAAGGCTTCATGCTTGGATCCGGGGGCAAGAGAGTAGGCTGGCAGGCCAAGTCGCTCCTTGGGCAAAGGGAGGGGAAACCATCAAGCTCAAGCCGCTCGAATGTGATCCCTGAGTCGAGCGCTAGGCAGTGATGCAGCAGCCTTTTACATTTCGAGTCACGGTCTGGTGCTTGGTGGTGCGTGAGTATTGCCGCCAATTCGATCTGTAACGCCCCACACTCGTGGAGTAGATCAAAAGTCTTATCCATTGGAGTTTTATTCAGCCCGAGCGTTAGACAAGCCCAATCCACGTCTCGCTGGAACTTGGGGTCGAAGCCAAAACATGTCTAGACATTCCATGAGTCGACGTAGTCCCGAGAGACATAACAATCGGGCGGGTCAGGGTTAATAGACTTACGACGCAACACTTCTGGCGGTTCAACAACGAAGTCACCAAATCTTTGTCCCTGCATTGACCAAGGTCAAGCTGCTTCAAGACAGCAGAGACCCCTTGAACATGTAAAAAACAGTTGCGTAGGGCATCGCCCCCACCATGCATAGTCTAGAGCTGCTTCGTCAAATCTTATATCTCCGAGTTAAATAAATAGAGTCTGATGGATGCGCACCTCATATGCACTGAATACAATTGTCGCGTAGAGAATATCTAGCGATGGCTTGCGATTTCGATGGATAATCTGCGCCAGCATCTTCAGCCCGCTGTTATAGAGTTCAAGCCCGTGACGGGCCAGATTGGCATCGCCAGTCTTTCCTCCCAGATAGACCGAGACCAGTGAGATGATGGACCGGTCGAACAGCTCAGACTCTCCTGCTAGGTTTGGAAAGCGACTCATCAAAAAGTACCAGCTATCATCATCGCCATTAAGATAGTTATTGGGCGCGAAGTAGACCCCCATATAAGTCGAGAACAGCTGGGTTCGCAGTTCGGCGTTCGTGTTGAACACTGGGGCTAGGGCCAGGGGTTTTAGATGGCTCACAAGCTGAGCAACAGGTCTTGAGGACAAGGCAACTTCATTACGTTCCTGGCGAGAAACTATCGTATGGTAGAGAAAGTTTCGGTGCGGATCATAGCCAGGGCATAAGATACCTTTTTTCTTACACCTAGCACATTCTGGCTCTCCAAGGTCACACTACAGCGATATATAAGCACAAAAAGCGCTACTTTGAAAGTGAGCCATAGGAGAACAGTACCTTGATTCGGCGTTTCCTGCAATTTGCACAACCTTTAGATGTGTAAGGGGGGCCGCCCATGTTCCCCTGGTGATCAAGTGATTTGGGGCTGCTGGATACGCGATCGGGGATGTTAAAACAGTCGGGATTATTTAATCCTTCCACCTGCCGTTAACGCCAGGTTAAGTAGTGTACGGAAGACCATTGCGGCTACTCGGCAAATGGAACTTTTCTTACTAAGTATTCTTAAGTTACCGCAGCGGTGCCGCCTACTAAGACTTTTAGTATAAACCAGCCCGTGTATTCTCTCCCCCCCTCTCTGCCTTCCGGATATAGTGTCTAATTCTTAGATAGCTATTAATATCCCGGCTTCTTTAAAGCGCCTTAACAGCTGTTTAATTATACATTCGGATTGGCCCCTTTTTATATTAGGGTATTTAGGGTTTTTTTGAAGGCCGAAGGTATTGTTATTAGGGTTTATTAATAGAGAATATTATCAATTATTCTTTTGAATTAGGATTGTTGGGGTTTATATATAGTTTCGATTCTTGTATATAGGATTTTGCCGGCAGATTTCTCGTTTGCCGAGTGGCCGCAATGGTCTTCCGTAATAGTGCGTGTTTGGCAAGCTCTGTAAGCCCCTCCTAAAGCAGAAGATTGGGGCCGGGGACCGTGCGCGGATTGCTTGTGAACCACGAGATTAATTCTCGCGCCTTGCAGTTCGGATTTTGCCCCCATAATCAGATCTTTACCCGTCCAGACTAGGTGCGACTCTTCCTGTCTCCTCGTGCATTCAGTCAGCAAAATGGGTCCCTTCCAGCACGTGACTATAGCACTTAAGATGAAAGAATGAGTAACTTAGCCGCTAGGATTCATCCCCTGCCCCAGATAAGGCAATTATTTCGCGAATGCTATTGTGACGGCGAAGAAACCCCGCTGGCAGTGAGTACATGGGTGGTGCGGAGAATGGGGGATGTCAGGATTTCGAATACGCTCCGGGCTAACAAGACCCTATCTTATCGTGGGCCTTGACTCAAGGAACTCATATCTCTTTCTGTCCGCCTCAAAATGGTAGCCAAAGTGATGAGACCAAATCCTTTATGGTTGTTGAGGGGGATAATTCTATCCTTCCCTTCTCAACGTCCTCCTTCATTAGCCACCCGGAGGTCGCGTGTTAACCCTTCGAACTGCTCCTGGAACTCTTTTGCAATCAAACAGACCGATTGGAAGTGGTCTTTGCGCAAGCTACCATCCCCTTTCTCGCTGACCGCGAGGGCGGGGGCGCTGCTGACCATATTTTGGCTTCGGCGACCGCTGGGCTTATGATCAGAGCCGATATCTCGACCCGGTCATTCATACTTGCTCGGTTAGCAGGTGACATGATGCCCTTGCTTTTCTCCGCGAGCTTGTCTAGAAGCTCATGAAGGTCTTCTCCTTCTGTTCTTTGCTGAGGTCCTCGTAACGGGTAGCGAGGTGGATGCGCGACTTCACTGCACTATCGAGCGAGGGGATTCGATTCGTCGTCAAGACCATGAATCCCTCTAATACCAAGGAACACGCAGTAAGGCGGGGACGTTCCGATTGGGATAGCCAGTGCTCATACGAGACTCGAGGGAAACGTCTGCCTCGTCCACGAGGAGGATGGCCTCCCAAGCTCCGGCAAGGTTAAACATGCGTTCAAGGTTGTTCTCTGCCTTGGAGGTATTGAGACCAATCTCGACCACGCTGACGACAAGCAGAAGCCTTCCAGTTGCCTCGGCAATCGTCTCTGCCGCTAACGTCTTTCCCACCCCCGGCGGGCCATGAAGGGGAACAACGAGACCACGAACCTTCCCTTCAATCACATCCATGTCCTTGTCGCCGGCCTTCGAATCCTTTGCCGTGCTGTGTTTCTCCACGAGTGCTTTGATCGTGGATTTGTATCTTCTGTCCAGCTGCAGATCTAGATCGAATGCAGTATCGGGTTTTACCGGCCTTACTCTCTCGACGGAGCTGGCTTCGAATTGGCCCCAAATCTTTTGCGGTGTCGAGTAGCCTAGAAACCGAGGAGGGCAAAGGATATACCGCCACTTACCCTCTCCATCACCGACGTTCTCATCCGGGCCTTCCACATCCATGCTAGTGTATTTTCTAATGAAAAAAATATAAGTACTAACTTAAGAGTTTTATAAATATTTATACCTACTTAAACATATTATAAAATCATAAAAACAACTAAAAATTGGTGGCGTAAAAAGCCGCTATAGAAATTCTCTAAAACCTCTAATTTTAGTACGGCGTCTGGTTGTTTCTAGCTTACCTCTTTACGAGACATCCCTCCCCAAGAGGGGCAATCGATGACATCTTGGATGTCTTGCGCGAAGAAAGCTATATTCCGAGGCAGCAATTATGGGAACAGTGTTGCTTTTTGGGATGGTACTAGTATTAATCCCGAAGAAATACCCGGAGTTTTGCACCTAATGATCAGTGGTGGTGTATCGTCCAGGTAGAGCACTACACTGGGCTGGGCTAGACCGTACATACTCTTTACTTCAGTGATCGTTCGTCATCGGCAAATCCGACAGCCCCCTCCAAACTCAAACAGACCCTGTCGGCAATCCCGGGCACGTGATCGCATCCCCCCCCCCCCCCCGGGGAAAAAGGGGCTGGCTGGATTGTTAGGAAGAATTTCCCCGCAGCCAAGCAAGAAAATGTCTCAGAGCATAATTCAAGCTTATCTTCGCCTGCAGATTACTGCCCGGTATACTACATACAATCATGCATCATCTGCCGTTCTGAGTGACTATCTTTCCCTTCGGCCACCTCGCCCCTTAAGCCGGCATCATATTTCCCTATACCTCCGACATCCGACCATACTAAGATCAATCCCAAACGCTAACCCTTTTCTTGCTATCACAGCTACCCGACCAAAACACGCAGCAACTGACCCCGCCCCCCCCCCTTCCCCGAGCAGCATGCTCACTTCTTCGTCCCTGATCCCCATAAGCGCAGCAGATCCGAACACGCAGCCATACTACTGAACCGACCGGGCAAGGGCTGCCCCAGTCTCGCCGACCGGTGCTCCGGGAGCTGCAGCTGATTGAGCCACGCCGCCAACCCCACCTCCGCCTGCGTCGCGTCGTGTGCCAGTGCCACCGCTGCACTGACCCGACGAGACGGCTTCCTCCCGCTGCGCGCACGCATTCCATCCTCGATGCGCAGCACGTGTCCGCGGTATGCCAGGTCCTTCATCTCCAGAGATCGCAGCCCGGGGAGGTCGTCGCGGATGCCGTCGCAGAACTGGCGCCAGAGGTCGCTGACGGCGTCGTAGAAGGGGTTCGAGCGGGTGGGGAGGTCGATGCGGTCGAGGAGGCTGACGCTCACGAGCGAGAGGGTCTGCAGGGTCGGCGCGGCGGTCCGGAGGAAGGCCCGGAAACTGGGCTGCGTGACTTCGATCCAGTGGAGGGAGAGGGTGGACAGGCGCGTGAAGTGGATGTGCTGCGATAACTGGGTGAAGTGGTGGGCGGGCAGCTCGTCTTTCGTGCTCCATTGGGAGACTTTGAGGGTGGTAAGGGTCGGGGCGGCGGCAAGGAGGAGGCGCAGGAGCGGGGGTTCGGTCGTGTCGGAGTGGGGGTCTGCGTATTGGAGGCATAGATCGAGGCTTTGAAGGGCTTGGAGATGGGGTTGGAGGGTTGTGTAGTGGGTGTTCGTTAAGGTGAGCTGTTCGGGGGGGATCCCGCAGTGTTCGCCTTCGCTGCAGGTGTGCAGTTGTTGGATCTGCGCGGTGGAGGTCGGGATGGCTTGCAGCAGGGCGGAGAAGACGGGCGCCCGGATGCTGCGATTCTCTTCACTCCATAGGTAGTCTGGACTTCTTTCCCAGTTGTGAGGGATGTGTGGGTTGGCGAATGGGTGGTGGTTGAGTCTGCGGCGTAAGGCCATACGGCCAAGACAGGGCGGGTGTTTGTGTCCTGCTGCGGAGGGAGGGTATGTTTCTAGGCCGACGGTGGAGAGATTTGTGAGTTGCTTCATGCAGGTCGCGAGCGTGTGTGGGAGGGAGTCGGCTTGTATGAGTTGGAGGTGGTTTGCTACCGCGGATTGATACGATTCGTAGTCGATTCGCAGGTTGTCGATCGCCCATCGAACCAGCTCGGTGATGGAACTGTGTGTGCCGTGCGCCACCGCTGGCTGGTCGAAGTACCCCGCAGCCATGAGCTTGGCCTGCACGAAGGTATCGTAGTCAACATCGTAGTGGCCTCGAAACACCTCGGGAACCAGCCAGAGCTCCTGTACGTGCGCTCGAAATATCTCGTGGGTGGCGATGGCTTCGAGTTCTCGAAGCCCGTCAGATGTGATGAGGACACTGATGCGCTTGACATGACGGCTAACAAACGTCGCCAGCGATTTGGCATACAGCACTCGGCATGACAGGCGGAGAGCACACCAGTCAGGAAGACCCAGATAGAACCACACAGCATCCAGGATCTCATTAGGAAGATCAAGGATGGACATGTTGAGTGAGTCTCTCAGAGACTTCGGTGACCTGAAGAGAAGTGGAGAAGGAGGTGAAAGAAGTATGCAAGGGGGCAGGCACCAACCGCCGTTCTTATTTGCTTATTCATTTGACTAACCCCTCACTTGATTGACAGGGGAGGGGGTGAAGAAGGGGCCGAAAGGGCACATGAGCCACAGGAGCCTCATCGCGTGGGACTTCCCCAATTTAACAGTGAATGTCATACTAACTGAGCCACCGGCCCGGCTAATGTGGCCCTGTCCATGAGGTGATCCTCCACGATCCACCGCTGACGCTTACGTAGCCTTCCCCCCCACTTCAACACGTGCGAAAAGACCCCGTTTGGACTGATTTAGAGTTCTCTTACATATTGCAGACGGAATCAGCTAGAGATCCCAGAGATCCCATTTCCGGACTAATTTCCGCAGACGAAGCTAACCCCCAAAGTAATATAAGGTAAGCCTTTCCGACGAGGCTGCAGGCTATAGTCCCCACCGCGTATAGCTCTTAGCGCCGATGATCGCATTCATTCTAGGTAATTCGCTCGTCTAATTAATCTACTTATGTTGAAGCTGCACTATGATCGCCTCGGAATCGGAAGGTCTTGAGTTTTTCCTCCAGCTTAAATCTGCGTAGCTTCCACAGCTTCGAATCAACAGTCCGACCGTCGGCATTATAATCCCATTTCCTGAGGTTTGAGATCTAACTCCTGGCTAGCATGCAGTACCACGTCTGCGATCCCGGAAAAGAGCGACATTCCACGGAAAGAACGTCGTTGGTTGGGCTGGTGTAGATGGCGTGATCTTCCTGGGGGTCATTGTGAGAGAAGAGTGTTAAGGGTCAGATGTGCTAACTCGGATGTTTCCCGAAAAGGGGATTCTTGGAGACATATCTTTATAGGCGTTGTAGAAGGCTGCCAGGATATGTCTGTGCAAGGGGGATTCTTTATGTTCCCCTGGTTGGCCGCGCCTCCACTCCGCCCGCTCGGATATGGCCCCGGGCCAGTGGGACTCCACATTTCCGATGCTGCCCTAATCTTCTTGTGAGCGCTGGGCGCATCGAAACAGAACAGTATATGGATCTGTCTCGACTAGCTTTTCGACTATAGAATTATCACTCACGCAAAGCACCGTGACTGATACTTGCACACTCTGCATTTGCTCCATACTGAGATGGAGGAGAGTTCCGACCCTCCCCAAAATGGATCCATGGTGGCGGTTGCCCTACGGGCGATACCGAGCAACTCGCAGCAGTCTGATAATTGTGAGTCACTCTTTTTGAAATTGATGTCAAGAACATCAACTAAGTTTGATAGCCTCAGTACGGAGTCAAGAGGGTCTGTGAAACATCCTACTCAGCTCATGGGGCTAGCCAACGTGACAGAGCATATGTATTGCTTATACGACCAAAACCTATATACATCCCGTGATCCACCAGTCCCACCCCAACTCCTGCGATTCCAGAAATGTTCAAAAGGTTCAACAGCTAAAAATCAAAGTCCAATGCCTTCTGCGCAAAACAACAGTCGCGGGGCTCTCGACGCAGCGTTTGGTTGGGAGTACATCCCGCGACAACACACCCACGGAAAATACTTTGAGCCTGAGGCGGAATCTTTGTACTCCCCTTGCCCCTCCTCTTTCACATATTCGTAGCCTGTATACTAAGCACCATTGGCCTCAGCCTTTCGCTCCGCTTGCACTTTAGCCCAAAGCAACTGCGCCCCCGGGTGGTTCTGCTGGGCCATATACCCGATTGCATCCTCATGCTGCTGGAGAGCCAACAATTCATAGGAACCCTTTCCTCCCAGACTCCACTCCGGCAACTCCTCTCCCTTGAGACTGTAGACATACTCCTGCCCCACCAATTGGCGGCTGTACTGCTCCTGTGTCAGGCCCATGGGCAAGTAGTCCTTCTTGTGCTGCACGCGGTAGTTCACGACCGGGTGGATGTAGGCGCAGGTAGCCCCGAGGACACCTGTCTTCTTTTTCTCGTCGCGGTACATGTTAGCACTGGGCGCGCGCGGCTTCTTGCCATTGGGGATATACATGTTGGAGAAGCTGTCGGGCATGTCGCCCAGTCCCCAGGTATAGAGGCGCGTTTCGGTGCACGGGGCCGGGGTGAGGGGGTGCATGACGGCGGACCCAAGCCGCCTCGCCCCGCGACCCAGGTACTCCCCCCAGGACTCGGTCTTGGCCATCTCCTTCTGCTTCTCCAGGGCCGCATTCAAGGTCGCAATCGTCGCCTGCCGGTCCGTGTAATGATCCTTGATGGTCTGTTCGCGGATGCCCACAAATGGCGCGATCTGGTCCAGCATCCAGGCGAAGACGATGTTCGACATCTCCTCCATGTCGCCGTAATTGTTCAACGTGTCGCTCGAGCCGCCGCCGATGTTGATGTGGTAGCCGGGGAACCACACCTGCGTGAGCTGCGGCGTGCCCAGATTGAGGTTGTCGTCGCTGATGACCAGGTCGCGTCGGGCGTCCCAGACTGCTTTGCTGGCTATGTTGATTTTATTGGCCAGCTGATCCAGGGTCTCGTAGTCCGTCGGATACAGCTGGCCGTGCTTCTCCGCCTTCTTGACCAAGTCTCTTCTGAAAGCTCCGGCCTTGTTCAGGATAGCCTTCTTCTCGTCGACTTCCTTGGCAAGTCTCGCTCGGACTTCCGGGATTGAAGCGTCGGGATGATCCGAGGGTAAGCACCAGACCTCGGGGTAAAAGGCCTTGCGGTACTCATCGAGGGCCAGCGCCTGGAATGCATGCTTGATATGCCGCGAGAGGGTCACGTTGTGCCATCCGGGGGGGTCCTTCCACCACATCAGGTTCGCGGGCAGCTGGACTCCCGCCACCTCGGGAATCCCCAGCGCCTGGACGGTGTCATACACGGCCACGACCTCCACCCCCCGCGAATCCGTCTGCGCCCAGCGTTCATTAGGATGCATCTCCCAGGCCAACCCGGTGGCGGCACCGGGATGCTTCCGGTGTTGCTCGCAGGCCCTCCCGTCCACGAATTGGAAGTAGTCGTCGCTGTTGTAGAAGACCCCCTTCCGCTTCAGGTTCTTGTACTGCTTCCACAGGTCCGGGAAGCGGTGCAGCTTGTGCGGCTCGCAGATGCCGGCGTCGGCGATGAGTCCGGCGACCGCGCGGGCCGTGTACGCGCCGCGCGAGAAGCCAAAGCACAGGATCTTGTCGCCGCGGTTCCAGTTCATCGCGACGAAGTTGTAGGCCTCGACGATGTTGCCGTCCAGCCCGTCGCCCACGGCGCCCTCCAGCATCTTGCTGACGGCCAGCGAGGTGGTGCCCACCCCGGAGTCGTACCAGACCACTTGCTGCCAGTCCTGGCCGTCGATGTGGGCGACGGGCTTGATGGCCCGGCACAGGCGCGTGATGTTGGAGGGGGAGTTCTGCTGCCCGGACACGGCCGTCTGCCATGTTCCGTCGAAGCAGAGGATGATCCGCTTGGGAGCGTACGCGGAAGACGTAGTCCGAGCCATCCTGCTAGTTGAGATCTGCAAAAAAAAAAAAAAAAAACTCGGTGATAGATTGGCACACTTATTCGGGAACTCTCTAGCAGATTTATATTCCTGGGGTCGACTGATGGTGGGATTTACCCCTGAGAAAACCCGGGTCGGCAGGATTGCCCCCGTTTGGTGTCTTCGTATACTCAGCTGGCGGCCATCCGCCACGCTACCGGGGTCTGGCCCTCTCCAGATTTTCTTCAGCTGTCCCCCAACCCTGCCAACCACAGATAACAAGGTTCCCACTTTCTTTCAGCTCTGAGCTGGGGCCTGACATGCGATCCGATCACGTGGCGAGTGCATGGTTCTGGCCGCGGCGGATCGGCTATTTTTGCCCGCTTGCTTTTGGCACGGGCCGGCGCCTGATGCGGGCTTATCGAACTATCGATCTGTCACCTGAGCTAACGGGTAGAATTGTCGCCACTGTCTCGTAGAGCTGTGTTTATGCATGTCAGAGATGTATCTATGTGTGCATTGCGGCGTGGGGTGGTGTGATACCTCCGGTTTTCGATGTGGATGACTCTGCCATCTGACTCGTGTGACCTCGGGTATCAAGGGCTTTCTGCCTCAGCGCATTTTCTCCGAGGCTATGCCTCGTCCGTATCTTGCTTACGGACGTGTCTGTTTACTGCACAGCTCAGCCATCTACAGATTAATCGACATGAGATAAACTACGTCTTTCAAGCACGGACGCCACATATACCACCGACGTCTGGGATTGTGCGGAACCACCACTGACTAGGCTTTCCCACAAGAGCATCAACAGTCAAATTCCTCATACAGCTCGAAGGCTAGTGAGCATACATGATTCACCGAGTCGCTGGTCGGGGCATTTGGCGTCGTCGTCACTTTCTTCATTCCAGATACAATAGAAGGCAGGACTAAGCATATATCCCCATGCTTCGCACAGCCCACCCACCGTGCAGGTATCTCCAGTCCTATGCGATCGCGTCGAACTTGCTGACAACCGGGCAGCCGGGCACTTACTTGTGATCTTTGCTGCTCCGTGGGGTCAGATGCACCGGTTTGATCCTGGGATCTATCCGTGTCCGAGGGGACAGGATCGCCGTCTCCATTTCATCTACCTGGCTTACTTGGATTTCGAGATCATAGAAAAGAGAGATTTCGCTGCGGATGTGGGAGGCCGGCAGTTTATTTTGATAGGGGCTTGTGTAAGCTACACCACAGAAAGACTTATCGTAGTCTAGAATGACCACAAGGGCTGGAGGGCGAAGGGCGCCCAATCGGGTTTGATGCCTTGTTGCCTTAATTGCCTTAATGCCATGGTGCATGGGGACTACGCACATAACTCAAGATATGGGTACTGTGGCTCAGTCGCCTTTTAGGGCCCTGTCAAATGGAGAATGTGGTCAAGGTGCAATTTCATCGAGCAGATGGCGAAGAGACACCAAAAAAGAAGAAAACATACAACAGAAGGGATTCGCTGGTGGTCACCCACCCAACTACTAACCTCCCGGCGTGTGGCTTGAGTACGGCTGAGCGGACGGGAAGCCCTATTTTCCACACCCTGTGGTCGTATGTGCTTGAGACAACTCCGTAGTAGGCTATATTGTGCTTTAATCAGATGCTGACTTGGGGTTTGTTTCCAGGTGGGGTGGATGTGTAGTGTACAGTCAACTCTCGCTATAAGAGCCAATTGAGACCGCCACCTTAGTTTCTTATATGCCTAGGCCTTCTTTTTATCACGCGCGGTAGAAACGGTTAGGGTCGAAAAGTGCGAGCATAAAATAGGTTCGATACGTCGCGGAATCCTTGATAGCAAAGTTCAGTTTGGCAGGGGTCGACTGTAGCTGGGGGCGGACTTGTCGCCGAGATGGCGAGCCGGGGCTCGGATTTTTTCCGACCAGTTGATCCCGTATCGAGACTGCTGTCTTTGGTTGTCGTCTAAGGGAGCGTGGTTGGCTGCTTCAATAATCCAGATATTGCAGCTTACTGTACAACCTTGTTCTTTTGGCTTTCATATTACTATCATTAAAGATGCGATGAGGTGTTCAAGGACGGATCTGTGGTGATGTGGCAGAAGGTATACCCGGTGACTGCTGGATGCGCTCACTTGACTGACTGACACCTACTAGTCAGCTCATCATGACAAATAGCTCTGTGGACACCCTGGTAAGATAGATGACGCCTCTTTATGGCTGCATCGTAACCATCAACTGAACCCTGACACAGTTGCCTGGATTCAACCGGGATGGTGTGGGGGAGGACCGAATCTCCGAGTTAGTGCCGGATAAGCAAAGCCGGGGTAGGGCGACGCTTATTCGCTTCCCCGCGCGGCTGAAGTCTTTTCTCCATCTTCTAATTTCAACCTCCGCCACCTTCGCAGAGAAGCCAGTCTGAGGGGTCTCCCTGTCTCTTTCACACCGGACAGGTCATTTGTACCTCCCACCATGTCGACACAGACCGAGACGATGACCGACTCGAGGGAGCTTGAATTCCGGGACGCTCCCCCCGAGCTGCCTCGGGACAAGGACCTAAAAGTGTACGTGTGCGCCCTTCGTGACAACGCATGAGATGGCACGAGGTATGCCATCCCTTTTTCGGGTGCTAGGCTTACAAGGACTGCTCCCGCAGACAGCAACTCCTGGTCATCGGAGCCGGGTTCACCATCATGCTAACGACCAACGCGCTCATCTTCTCCGCCGGAGTCTACCAAGCGCTCTACGAGGAAATGGCCAGCGAGCCGGACAACCCCTTCACGGGCGCATCGTCCGCGCTGATTGGGCTGATCGGCACCCTAGCCATTGGGCTGATGTCCATGACCGGGCCCTTCGTCATGATGTGGATCAAGCTCTACCGACCACAAGCCGTGGTGGCCGTCGCGGGCGTCATCTTCGGGGTCGCCTACATCCTGGCGAGCGTGAGCCGCACCCTGTGGCAGTTCGCGCTCACGCAGGGCGTGCTGGTCGGCATCAGCGTGTCCATGTCGTACATCCCGGCGACCACGACCGCGCCGACGTGGTTCAACGAGCGCCGCAGCCTGGCGATGGGGATCGTCATCTCCGGCAGCGCAGTCGGGGGCATGATTTGGCCGTCGATCCTGACCGCCATGATCAACCGCATGGGCTTCCGCAACGCGCTCCGCGTGTCCGGCGCCGTCTGCGCGCTGGCCATCATCCTCGTCTCGCCCGCCGTGCGATGGGAACCCAGCTTCAACCAGCAGATCCTCGCCGAACGCCAGGCCCTGCTCCAGCGCCGCGGCGCCGGCAGCGGCACCCGCTCCCGCGCGCTCCTCCAACCCCCGCCCATCAACTGGCGCCTCACCCGCACCCGCAAATTCCTCCTCAAAGCCGCAGGCTGCATGCTGCAGTCCGCCGCCTACTCGACCCCGCTCATCTACTACGCCGCCTTCGGCCGCGCGCTGGGCTACTCCGCCGGCACGGCCGCGAACTTCATCACCATCAGCAACGCCGCCAACGCCGTCGCGCGCGTCGCGCTGGGCTACGCGGCCGACCAGTACGGGCGCATGAACCTGCTCTTCGCGACGACCTTCCTCAGCGCCGTCGCCGTCGCCGCCTTCTGGGTGCCCGCCACGGTCGCGGGCGCCACCGCCGGCGGGAAGGCGCTGTTCATCGTGTTCACGGTGCTGTACGGCGCGTTCGCCAGCGCCTACATCGCGCTGTTCCCGGCCTCGCTGATGGAGCTGTTCGGCAAGAAGGACTTCACCAGTGTCAACGGCGCCCTGTATCTGGTGCGCGGGCTGGGCGCGCTGCTGGGCACCCCGCTGACGGGGCTGTTGATCCCGCAGAGCCGCGCGCTGGCGGCGCCCGAGGTGTACGAGCGCGCGGCGCTCGTGGTGATGGCGCTGCTGTTTCCAGCCAGCTTTTGTATTCTGGGCGTACGGCTGGAGATGACGGCGGGGAAGGATTGGAGGTGGAAGGTTTGATTTTTGGGGGGTGGGGGGTGGATGTTGGTTGGTTTGCTGGCGTCGCGTAGCATACTTTTCAAGTCCAATGTACCTGTGCTGTACATAGGTACTCTTGTACTCTTGTCATTGGGGAGTCGTGCATGTGGATGGATATCCATTCATCAACAATTGGACACAACCAAAGACAACTTTGAAGGCAATGGGTCCACAACCTTCCTGACCCTGACCCGGACCTATTAATCGAGCTCAGTGAGACATTCCACAACCCCACAGACAATAGATTGATAATCCGACCTCAAGGGTTGAACCACTTTGAGACACATTATTAATGCGCATCGAAGCCTCAAGAAAGATGGAATTGAGTAATCAGAATGGATGGATGCCCTGTATCTCCAGGACTTTTACTTGGGGCGAACAGCCGCGGACTGGACGGCTGGAAGTCGCTAGTCCCGTTGGGGTTTAGTTTCCGGCATGCATCAGCGGCCCAGGCAGATCGGAGACTAGACTCGTTTGGGAAGGCAGATGCAGCGCCGCGCCTGGGACTGCTGGCACCCGGCGAGAAGCGGGAAGGCGGTGGCGGGGGAGTCCTGGCATGAGAAGCGATAGAGGGGAGGAAAAACTGGATGTGAATGAGCTCATTCGTGTTGATTTGTTCTATCAACTGGGGGAAAACGGTCACATACTGGGTGGATTGTATCTGCCTATGCTTCGCCAGTCATATACTCTGATCATCCACGTTATGTGAACATACTACAAGAAACGAGACAGTTGATTCAGAGAAGGGGATAAGTTGTTATTTGTCCTTCACAAAAAAAAAGACATACGACGCGGACACCAAATTGTAACAAGCAATGAAATACAATTCCCACATTAAAAATACTCTATATAGTTCATATCGCATAATTACCCCCCCATCCAACTAAATCTAAGGAGTCTCCTCAACGTTGTAGACGAGCTTCTCGCCGCTGACCTTGTCCTGCTTCAGCAGCTCCAGCCCCTCCATGACCCCCTCGAGCCCGCGGGCGCCGACCTTGGGCCGGTGGACCTTGATCTTGCCCTCGGCCAGCAGCTGGGCGGCGGTCTCCCAGAAGCGGGCGGCGAACTCGCGGTCCTGGGGCTTGGCGGGCATGGGGGTCTCGCCGAAGGTGAAGTCCTCGCCGACGGCGGTGTAGGCCAGGGTCCAGCGGTCGTTGACGTTCTGGCGCTCGATGCCCACGGCCAGGAGGGCGCTGTACTCGCCGCCCTCGGTGGAGAGGGCCTCGTCGCAGAACTTGGCGCTGGCCTCGACGGAGATTGTGTCCAGCACCAGGCGGAGCTTGTTGTCGGTGTACCGGCGGATCTCGGCGGGGGTGTCGGGGTTCTTGTAGTCGAAGGCGGCGTCGGCGCCCAGCTGCTTCACCAGGTCGAAGTTGTGCGGCGAGCAGGTAGTCAGCACCTGGTAGCCGGAGAGCTTGGCGAACTGGATGGCCAGGGCGCCGGTCGCGGTGGATCCGCCGTAGATGAGGAGGGGCTCCCGGGTGGTGGTGGGCGCGGTGGGCGGCGCCAGCTTCAGGCTCTGGTACAGCGCCTGGCCGACGGTCGTGATGCCCACGCCCAGCGTCGCCGCCTCCTGGAAGCTCAGGTTGGCCGGGATCTTGGTCGACACGTCCGCCTTGGCCACGATGTACTCGGCGAACGCCCCGTCCTCCGGCTCCACCGCGTTGGCCCCGTGCACGAACCCGCACACCCGGTCGCCCTTCTGGAACTTGCCCTGCACGTTCTTGCCGACTTCCTCGACGATACCGGCGTAGTCGCAGCCGACCAGCACGCCCACGGGCGCCAGGAAGGCGATGTGCTTCCAGTCGGTCGGGTTCAGGGCCACGCTGACCGTCTTGACCAGGATGTAGTCGTCGCGGAGGGTGGGGATGGCTCGGTCGCGGACCAGGCTGGCCTGCTTGGGGGAGGTGACCACAATGGCTTTCTGGGTGGACATGGCGGCGGCGGTGGTGGTGGTGGTGGGTGGATTTGTGTTGTGGTGGATTGAAGGGAGATGGGTGTTAGGAGAAATGTTCTGTCGGACCCCAGCAGGAGTTGGATGGTTTATATAGCAGATGAAGGTTTAAAAAAAGCTTGCAGCTACTCCCATACCTGGGAAAGGAGGAAACGCTTACAAATGGCGTCAATGAGGCCATTGAAACTCCCAGATGACAAATCGACTTCGATTCTCTTCTGGTGATCTCATCTGGGCGGCTGCTTTGGGGCATTTCCGTGTGTGTCGACAGGACCCACTTTCTGCAGCGAGTCCTCGCGGCGAGAGTTTTCTAAAAGAACCGAGGGAGGCCGCAGCTGCATGGAGTTTCTGCAGAGCTCTGCAGACCCGTTGGATCTACGCAGCGGAAACTAGACCTATTTCGTTCGCCAAGCTACAGACTCAATTGCTGGTCAACCGCCATTTGTCTACTTGATTGTCATTTGGGTCTGGTACAGTGTTACATGATCATGGAGATTTAGAAACGTAGATACTTTCTTGCCAGTTCGAGTTCCAACTTTCGGGGCGTTCGTGTTTACTCATCCTCGGAGTAATGCGCTAATCAACGCTTGGAATGCTTTCTCGCAGGTTTTTCAAGGTGTAGAAAGTATGATTAGTTATCACGGGTTGATAATCAACTCCTGACCGTACTCGCTGGGATACCGACCGGTTCAAGGTATCCCAGTTGTTGAGCTGCGGGTTGAAATTAAGTTTAATTCCTAGGATTAGTGAACGCCATGCAGCTAACTTAAAGACGGGTCTTGGCACCGGTAGACTGCCCGACGGACCGGAACAACTGGGTCTGCGTTGACGCTCCGGTTTGGATTCTACTCGACACGTCCGTATAGCGTTTATGACACGTGGTGCGAGACTCCAGTGGAAGAATGATGGATTTGCAGATGGTCGTCTCATTTCAGTTTATGGCAGTGTCAGAAGGGGCATTACACACTCGAAGTGTTGGCAAAAAGCAATGACCAGACTGGGGCTCGATCCCAGGACCTTATCGGTGTTAACGATACGTGATAACCAACTACACCATCCGGCCAATTGATGAAAGATTTGTCAATTTAATGCTTCCCAGCCCTAAGCAATGCACCAAGCATACTCCACTCCAAGTTTTATACTAACTTGCAAGTCATCAAGCAACACAGGGTAGCTCTGCCGGAATTGTTTGGGGTGAGGGTAGGTCGGCTTTTGTCTAGGGCCTGGCTAATGCTCGCGTACTTGAAGAAAGAAGGCCTACGGTCTGACTAGAACTGGTATTGGAGGGAGTTGGGGTGCTCCAAGTTATTCCTACGGGTGTGGTAGGGGACCAACGCGGGACTTTCTTGGGGGTGACAGCATGTGGCCCTAATTTGTGCGGTATTCTTTAAGGGTGTTTCTGCTATGTGGTTGGGGTTTTGGTGGTGCAGCTTGGTTCGATGCTCTGGGGGGTTGAAGAATTTCGACAGTTGTTGGTGGGTTTTTTACGTGTCATTGTATATATACTGGCCACGAACCTCGAGTTTTAACACTTGTGGCATTATCCAGTCCAAAACAGGCCCAATTGATACACAATACATTGCACACCAGACTCTCATTGTACAAGTAGACGCAAGGCGTTGAACTTACCCTCTAGTCAATATACCCTACGAAACAGTGGTGAAATTATCGGTAAAAAAAAGACAGAAAGGGAAGTATTTTGCTTTGTTTCCCTTCCACCTTATTGTTCAAGATAATAGTGTCATACACAGAAGCTCTAAATAATAAGTTGGCCGGATGGTGTAGTTGGTTATCACGTATCGTTAACACCGATAAGGTCCTGGGATCGAGCCCCAGTCTGGTCATTGCTTTTTGTTCACATACCCTGGACGGTATTGTTTTTGTCATTTTCTGTTGCATACTAGCTGCAAGTACACAACTTTGACCTCCCGAGACATACGAGATGTTTCTTCCTAGTCAATCCCCGAAGTTCGCCCCAATCGCATCCTCCCCACATCGAAGACAACCACTTTTTTATTCATCCAAACCACCAGACTTTGTCCCCGACTGTCTATTCTTTTTTATCATGCTAATTTATCTCCCTCTCTTCTCTGGTCTATTCTAGAGACAACGGTTTCAGAGTGCTGACAAGTCAACCGAGTACAGCTGCACGATGCAAGTACTACTGCATCTCCAGTAGCTGGAAGGACGGGAGGGGCAGATTTCGTGGGTTTTTGGTTTGTAGCACCACGGTATCACCGGATCGCATTGAACTATTGGTCCGAGAGTTGTTGAATGTAAAGCGCGCAGTGTTGATCTGACCAAAAGCCGGAGCCGAGGTTAGCGAAGTCGAATGAGGATAAACTTTACCAGGGAGCCAATAGAACTGGACGGTCAACGACCTGCAATCCTGGCTTATCTCCAGCGGTTTTAAGGCAAACTCTAGATTCACCCAAGCACCAGAGATGGAAGAGTGTAGAAGTATCGTATTACCGGCTTTATTCGTGCACCCGCAGTCAAGCGCGGCTTGTCGCCAGAATGCTATTTTAGGGCCCGTCCAAAACATCCCCAGAATGTTCCACAGCATGGTTTGCTTCTACTCTCTGCCAGCCTCCTCCAGCAGATGCAGATAAACATTAACGGACTCGGTGAAGTCAGGATTTCGTGTGATCACACAGGACCCGTCTTGCTTTCTGCCCTATATATAGTTAGACCCACACCACAAGCAAGACGTTATCGGGAATACCAATAACTCACCGAGCCCGGCGATTCTTCACCAGCATCGTCCCGTGCGTTATAAACACTGCCTCTCTCTATGTGATACGAATGTCAGTCAGCGAATTCTGGTAGCGATTACGCTTTTTTTTTTGCTACTAACATGCTCCTAGCGCGTGATCGGTTATATCGGAACCCTGGACGAACAAGAGCCGGAACACACTGGGAGATCTTTTGCATTTTTTAAGCAGCGTCTCGAGGGCTTCGACATCAGCTAGCCAGAGTAAGGCCCGTACGCTTGAGTCGACCGTGACGATGCCCAGATCTGAGCTGATTTGCGAGATGATTTTTGCTCTTCTCGGATTATCGATCTTAGGTAATGGGTTACACAAAGCAGGGCCCGACACTGCCACCCTGGAGTCTGGGGCTGAGACATTTGGTTGTTCTATGAGGTCTGTAGAATCTTGGAAAGCCGATATGTTTTACTTTGGTAGGGATGGTGACGGGGCAGAGACTTTGCGAGGATGCGAAGTAGGTCAGAAGATGAGTCTTGTTTCAGTGAGATGTGAACTCCTTGGAATCCTGGATGGAGTAGTATGGTGTCGGGATAGGATTTGAGCAATGTGGAGAGAAGAGAGAGAAAAGAAAGAGAAGAAGGAAGGGAGAGAGAAGAGAGCAGAGTGTATGAGAACAAGGCGGGAGTAGACTTGGAATAAGAAAGAGATGTAGCAGTGAATGGAAGTTAAGGCAGGATAGTGGTGAAATAAGGAACCCAGGACCCTTCACTGATTTCCGTGTGAGGTAAGACTAATAGGGGCCGTGATCAGTTGTGTTCACAGAGCCCCGTGCTTCCTCGCCTATTTTATTATTATAGTTCATGATTTCTTCCGAAAGGAAAGAGAAGAAATCAATTGATGATGGCCTCATACCATGTGGAGACGAGAGAAAAGTGACAGATGAAGTGGGACTGATACAAGTGTGCTTGATTGCAGGGTCTATTAGCGAGAGATTAAAGTTCTATATGTCACCTCGATATTTAAAACTTCTTCGTAAGGTCCAAGTTTGAGGAACTACTAAGTACTGGGTCAGTTCGGAGTAGTTCATATCTGCTGGGAATCGTTTCATTACATTTTTATGAATCCTTCAAGACAACAGCCGGAGATATCGCATCTAAGCCACAGAGAAGGCCGAAGAAATGCTTAATATGGAAGGATGGGTGCTGATGAAACAAACCGAATGACCACGAAGTACTGGCTTGCTATAGCCAGGTATCACAAATTGATCAGATACAAATTAATGCCGCCTTGTCAAGCATAGATCGATATCTCAACGTTGACCATCGCGTTGCTACATACTGTCGAGTAACTTATCCGTGTAGGACAGAGTGTGGTAATGCGAGAATTGTATGGTAATATGAAACAAGACCGAAAATTTGAGACATTGCATGATCTGTGGCTTAATTGCCTCTTTTTAGACAGTTCAGAAGTGATGCCGAGAATGCAGAATGGTAAATTTACCTATAGTAGTTCGAACATGGTTCTTTGACCTGCTGCTCACTCTTACGCCTGATCTCTTTTTGGTGAAGGGACAAGTGCTCCGCATGTTCTGGAATGTAAGTGCAAAGTTGAAAAGGCATTTTATAATCGGCCGGATGGTGTAGTTGGTTATCACGTATCGTTAACACCGATAAGGTCCTGGGATCGAGCCCCAGTCTGGTCATATGTTTTTGTATCTTTACTTGCCGACCAGTCCAATCCTCTCAAATTCATCATGTACTCGCAAACATAAAGATGGGATCATTTGGGTCAAAGTTTCCTTCTTGCTACTGGCTCGAGCCAGTCGGAATGAAATCCGAGCTTAAGAAATGTGTTGCGAAACCTTCTTGCGGCTTGACCTGCAGAAGCTGTCATTGCCGAACCCTAAGCCAAGCTGACGGTAGAATGCTTCGAGTCATGATGAGCCACTCAACCTAACCGTTTGCTAGGGTCAAAAAGCAAGCCCAGTCAAGAAATTTAAATCCATTCCAACGCAGAGTCGCACTGATGCATGGCAAGATCCAAGTGACTTTCAATGAGTGCACGACCATGGCCAGGTATTTGTAGAGGATAGAAGGACGACATTTTTTTTGTGCTGATGAACTGAGGTAAATAAGGAAGTCACATCTGAGAACCTACTCACCAATCCCCTGAGCGTTGCAACCGTTTCCTCATCAGATTAATCTCGGACAAACAATTCTTCATTTCACCGTGCGTCTGCCTCGTAATTCACCGTGCGTCTGCCTCGTAATTAGAATCATCCTCACCCAGAAGCTATGCTTTATTCTGGGTCTCTCCCGTCTCACGGTGCTGACTTTCCAATACACATTACACTCTGACACAGTATGTGTCTCGCAATGGACTTCGGTAACTGTGAATACTCACAAATCTTCTCTCGTATAATGCCAATGGGATGGATAGGTACTCCTGGGTCTGTGAGGATATTTCATCACCAGTTCAAGTTTCACCTGCCGTTATTTACAGGTCACGAACTACAACTCAATTAATTCCTCCTTTGTCAAGACTTAGCATCCTTCTGCCCAGTTTCAACTTGGCCCTTCCTCACGCCCAGCCAATCTCACTCAAATTTCGAGATTGTCAACTGAAGAAAGCGTCGGGGTAAGTTTGCTTTGTCTTACACGGTGTCAGTCGCCCTGTCACTCTCCCTTGTCGAGTCGGGTGGTCTTTAACGATTGTTCTCAATATCCAAGGAAGATCAAAAGCAGGTACCTCATGTTCTATCACATTGATTGCTACTATTGTCACACATCAGGTACATCCACAAGCGAGTTCCCAGAATTTAAGACATGTACAATCATGCCTAACCAGGTCCAGGGGCATCTAAAACATCTTGCTTCGCGGAGCCAATGGCCTTCGCCAGAACTAAATGAATTAAGCAAATCTCTGCAATACACAGTAAGGTTTGTCCCAAAAAGGGCTACGCATGTCGATAACCTTACCACGACGGATATGGCTCACAGTGAGCCGACACAGACCTCCCATTTGCACAGTCGTATAGCATCCAAGCGGATGATTCGGTATATAGGAAGTACCCAGCATGACACCTGTCTTGACAGTTAAACCGTCCGGGGCGACAATCCACATTCTTATCGGCACATACATATTTGCAAGAAGCCCGATGGTACTATGCATAAATCTTTCGAAGATTCCAAGCCTGATAACTTCCGTGAGTTAGATCGATGGCAATAATGAGTGAGCGATGATTACCAAGTCACGACAGTTTAGCTTGCAATACTGCTTGAAGCTAATTGTAGGAACGAGGTGTCAAAAGAAGAGCACGAAAATCATAGTTGGCCGGATGGTGTAGTTGGTTATCACGTATCGTTAACACCGATAAGGTCCTGGGATCGAGCCCCAGTCTGGTCATCTTTTTAGCTTTTTCTTGTTTCAAGACCTCAATATCTCTCTTGACATGGGTATGACCATGTCCTTACTACTTTTACTTCGCTGAGCAAAGGATTATCATCTTGGCTCGGTACAGTTCATGGTTTTTGTATGGGGAGAGATTCCCGCTGGACTCATTGTCTCGGTCAACTTAGGGCTAGGTCCGCGAACGGCATCGCCAATCACCAAGCTGGAGTCTGCGAGTAGTTCTTACGAGAAATCAACTCGTGAAACATGGACCGGGTCAATTCGGCTCGTTCAAAAATCAATGTCTCTCGGAGGACTCCTAGAATCCCAGTTGGTGGGAGACATTAAAGCTGAAGGTCAATGAGTGGCACATTGTCGCTGTCTGAGTAACTTGGACCAGTCGGAATATGCCTGGGTCTGGATGTCAGATCAGAAGCACAGTTCACTGTCCTTTTATTGGGATATAGGCATTGGCTGTAGAAGCTGTTTTCTTGACTCGATATCTCAGGCTTAGATCATCCACTCTCATCGACTAGGTGCGTTACCCGATACCAGATTGCGACAGGGCACAACGACCAAGGTGATTGAACGTTACCAAGCTCAAATAAATGAGGGTATGACATGCTGTCCATGGTGCTGAATGCTCTGGTTGCGTCGGCGTTGTTGGCGAACCATTTCCATTAACTGCCAGAATGTGGGGTATCCCGCAGCCTATTGAAGGGCGCAAGAGGCTCCAGAAACCCAGCAAAATCAGTGCCCAGGAACCATTTGGCCAAGGGGCAGAGAGTTTTGGCGAATCCCTTGAGTTTCACGATGAGTCGTCGTCGATAAATCATGCAAAAGATATCGGTGGCAAAAAAGATGACCAGACTGGGGCTCGATCCCAGGACCTTATCGGTGTTAACGATACGTGATAACCAACTACACCATCCGGCCTACTGATGAAAAAAGCCCAATTCTTTGGTTACAGTACTCTACAATATTACAGCGATTTTAAAGCTCCTCACTCACGCCTCTTCTAACCGAGGGAACGACATTGTGAATATAGCATAGCATCACAGGCTTCTGTATAATGCTCACTTAAACCCAGCGTCAGCTGAGTGTCTTCTATCTTCCAGCCCTCTCCACCATAGCCCATCCCTACCCCCAAGCATGGACAAGACAAGCCATTCCAGTCATTCAAACATCCTCCTCGCCCAGAACCGTCGTGACCGCAACACCATCCTAAATCCAGTCAGCATGACATTCAATGCTCCCCTAGAACCCAAGGCTAGGGAAAGAAAAAACACATACCCTGCCAAACTGCGTCTCAAACTCCCGCACAGCGGTCTGATACACCAGCCCAGGCCTAGGTCTCAACCCCGTCGCCTCCCACCCCTTCTCCCCCTTCCGCGACACCAACAACCCCCTCTTCTCCGCACACCCAGCCCTAACCCACTCCAAATACTGCGGTGCCCCCGGCATCACCACATTATCCGCAACCACCACCGACTTCTCCGGCACCAGCAAACCCAACTCCTCCATCAACCACAAATCCGGCAGGTACAGCTCCTGCCAATGATCCAGAAACACCATCTCCACCGCTTGCACCTCCCCATCCGCCACCAACTCTCGGAGGCTGGATGCCGCCGACCCCACGATCACGCGCACCACATCCTTCAGACCCGCCAGATCGATCAGCTGGTTCGCGACCGCCGCCATCTCCGGGTTCTGCTCCAGACTGAGGTATCGGGTGCCACCGGCGGCGCGGAGCGTCGCCCCGAACAGGATCGCGGAGTATCCCACGTACCCGCCGAGTTCGATCATGACCCGGGGCTTGTGGGCGACGATCAGGTCCCGGATGTAGGCGCCCTTGGGGGCGCCGATGTTCATGAGCGGGTTGTGCGTGTGGCTGTAGGCGTCGATCGCGGCCAGGACGGCGGTCGGGTTGTTGCGCAGGGTGGGGAGGTCCGGGTGCGCGTAGATGTAGTGGAGGAGGTCGACTTCGCGGCCATCCTTGCTCCCCGGGGCGGAGGTTGAGGTTAGTGTTTGTGGTTGGGATTGTTGGCGGGGTGGACTTACGAGCGCGTAGGGTAGAGGCTTTGGGGCGTGGGGCTTGGACATTGTGTGCTGCGGTGTGGGGTTGCGTTGGAGTATGCGACGGATGTTAAGGTGTAGGTAAGGGAAAAGATGCTTAGAGATGATTGTGTCGGCTTGAGACTGAGGGTGCAGGTTTCCCGTTGAGCTGTACGAGTCTTTTATGTCATGGTGCTTGCGGTTCTTTGTACCCAGGCAGCCGTCGGCGATTCGGCCATGTCATGGAGTTTACCCCTTCTTTGTGCTGTCTCCGGACGGACACTCGGGCTTAACACGGATGACGTAGCTTTGATGATGATAACCCGACTATCTTGTGTGGTTGTGTTGCTTTTCTGGGATTAAGGTTAGATGCGCCACGGAGATAAAACACGGTGGATGGCTCGGAGCCGAGGATTCGGCGCCCGGATCGCGGGGTGGAAGCCGATCGACCTGCCAAGCCACAAGGCTGAGCTCAATCCATGGCTTCTGAGGTGCCCACATACGTTTTCATCAAGCTTATTGACTCGGACTGCTCTACTCTAATGCTCTCGTTCGCTGACGCTTTTCTCTCTAAGCTGCCTTGTGCTGACTTGTGCTCTCATGATGAGATCGACATATGGAGCACCAACATTTGGAGGATTTGACCTACAACATGCTCCTGAGGCCCGGAACCTTTACCATCAAGACTGTACTGCACCCCAACAAGACAGCTCGCCAAAACTTCTGCTCTTGTTGGGGCCTCCGCAGTTCGAAATGGCAGTAAGTGACCATTCGACATGCCAAATCAGCTTCCACTTAGGGCTCGAAGAAGGCATTGACAACAGTCTCTCCCACAAACCAGACAGGAGGTACTCCTAGATCGTTGATAATACTGAACCCGGTGCTCCGGTCGCAAATGGCTGGTGGCAATTCACGAAGGCAAGACCGAGGCCGAGTGGGCGACCACATTTGCCAACAGGATTCGGGCCAGATGGAATAAAAAAAGCCTGGCGGATGCGACTAGTAGTGCTCGAGACCCGAAGCGAGTCAAGCTTCTGAACACTTGGGAGGTATTAAGATCCGTACCTCGCCCAATGGAATCCCGATCCGCTGCTCATATAGGCGGGTAGTTCGGTCTTCAGGATTTGGCGTAGCTATATGTGCAGCCAGCACTTCAAAGTCAAGGCATCCGAGGTGCCTTGGTGCGGAGGACGATCGAGCAATTCGATCGGCTGGAGCGTCAGGCTTGTAGGAGAGGTCCGCAGACTGGTACGGTTCCAAAGCCGTTGGAAAGTCTGAAGGAGAAAATAAATTCCTCTGTGTTGCTCATCCGATTAGCTGAAGAAAAGTAAGGCAGGATGCCTCGAGGTCCAGAGTGCCCAAATGTTAGTCCACCACGGTTGCTCCTTGGTCATTAAGTTCCGGGTTAGTATCTCGGTTACAGGTAAGTAAAGTTTGATTCTACATTGATTCGTGGCAAGCCCGCAGGACTAAGAATGTTAGCTTGTTCGTCTGATAGATCACGCCATTTCGGGATGGGATTGTATGCCTCTTCGATCATTCTCGTCGCATGCATGACCGACAAGGGAGATCGAGAATCGTGGCTGTAATGCTGTCCTCAGCAGGACTGGTGCCGCTGACTCAAGGAAAAAAAGAAAGTCAGTAAAAGCAGAAATGTCACAGTTGTTCAAGATAAGGAGGCCAGCACTGTGATCCATAATCGAAGAGTGCGTGGCAGATTCTAGTAAGAAAGACCAAAGACCCTAGACCAATCGGAGAAGGGGTCGGACGCCCGATGGTGGAGGGGAAGTGACGCCTGGTTGCTGAGGCGGTCATTTGCCATCGCTCAGGCACCCACATTTCCTCTTCCATCTTCCCGTCCCGACAGCCAATTTTCCCCCCTCCCACCAACTACACTCCAGGAGATCGATAAGCTCAATGGCCCCACAAAGCTTGACTGACGGCAGTACTCAATTGAATTGGCGACTGCCACCTTGGACGAAATCCCACCTTCACCATCCACACACTCTTTTAGTCAATGCTGCCGAGCCGCTCGGATAGCAGAGCGCCACCAACTGCAACATGCATTTCCCTCAGCAACACCGCGAGGACTTGGATGGCTCATGTGAATTCTTTCAAGAGACAGACTCATGCGGTTCTTCTACAGTAGTCTTGTCTTTGATGGTCACAAAGACGAATGCTTTACATTGGCGGATTGATTGCGGGGACGCCTCTCTTATCGCGAGAACTGACCCACCCTGCTACTTGTTGTCATCCAGCTAACGCCCAATCACCGTGCAGTCGCCCCTCTTATTCCGCCTGCAATACATATTCCATGCTCAGCCGACCACATATGCCCCCATTGCGCATGCAGGTGCCATATTGCGTCTTGCGGGCAGGATATGCTCATTGGACGCTTGCGTGGTGACGGGGCAAAGTTGGTGAACCGAAAACAATCGTCCTATCGCAGCGGAGCTTTCACCATATCATCCCAAGAAACCCCGGGGAGGACTAACGCTTTCATGCTAATGCAGACGCGTTATCAGGCACTACGATTGTGTGCTGCATGGCCACCAAATCAGCTGGAACGAAGCCAGGCGACCATTAAAGAGATGAAATTCCACATTTCCCAGCCAAACCTCTTGTTGAGAGCAAGTCGCTCCAAGTTTCAAGACACCTTAAAGTCTACTGTATGTCAAGATGACTGGCCACCACGAAAGAGGCCCTCTCAAAGGGCTTCAAGTAGACCAGGAGAAACTTGGAGCGACCGAGACTAGGATCGATGAAAATGACCTCGACGGCCTTCTGGTTCAGTTGAAGGACATGGTGGCTGAAAATGAGCTCGATGTGAACTTTCCGGCCCACATCCTCAACCAGGCACGGGAGATTCTCGATGCCGAGGCCCACCACGTTGATCTCTCTCAGCTCCAGACTCTCGTGGCGGAGATCGCCAAGCACCGCGACTTGATTGCGAACGACTCGCCGTACGCAGAAGTCCGCGCCGTGGTGGACCCGACGGACGACCCTGAAGTCTCGGCCAACACCTTCCGGGCCTGGTTCCTCGGGCTGCTGTCGACCATCATCTTCACCGCGGTCAATCAGTTCTTCACCCTGCGTTATCCCACCATCAACATCTACTCGTTAGTGGCCCAGCTACTCTCGTACCCGTGCGGCGTGTTTCTAGCGCAGGTCTTACCCACGCGAAAGTGGAATCTATTCGGCTGGCACTTTACCCTCAATCCCGGCCCCTTCAATCAGAAAGAGCACATGCTGATTACTGTCATGTCCAATGTATCGTTTGGAGGCGCGAACGGTACAGCTTATATCACCTATATCTTTCAGGTCCTCAAGGCCAAGTCCTTCTACAACATGACGTCTCTCTACGATCAGGCCGGATTCCAGATCCTGTCGGCTCTGTCAACCCAGCTGATAGGCTACGGATGTGCCGGTCTGACGCGGAGATTCCTGGTGTATCCGCCATCGATGATCTTCCCCAAGTGCCTGTCCACCATCGCATTGAACAAGGCCTTGCATGGCGACGAGGGACGTGACAAGGAGGTGAACGGGTGGAAGATCAGCCGCTACCGCTTCTTCATGTACTGCTTCGTCGCCATGTTCGTCTACTATTGGTTCCCCGCGTACATCTTCCAGGCCCTATCCTACTTCAACTGGATCAACTGGATCTCGCCCGAAAACGTCAAACTGGCCATCATCACCGGCACCATCAACGGCATGGCGCTCAACCCATTCCCCACCTTCGACTGGAACATCGTCTACGGCCTCTACGACCCGATCATCTATCCCTTCTACTCGCTGCTGAACAACGTCGTCGGAATGGCCATTGCATCCTTCTTCATAATCGTGCCGATCTACTTCACCAATGTCTGGAAGACAGCCTACTTCCCCATCAACAGCAACGACGTCTTCGACAACACAGGCAATACTTACGACGTGAGTAAGGTGCTGAACAGCAAGGCCGAGTTCGACGTCGAGGCCTACAGCAAGTACAGCCCCCCGTATCTCTCCGCCGGATACAGCATTATGTTCATGGCCTCGTTTGCAGCGTACCTCGCCGCCATCGTGCACATCGCGCTCTACAACCGACAGGAGATCACCAAGGGGGTGCGAGCGCTGTGGAGGTGGACTAGCGCACGCGACGAGCACGAGGACGTGCACAACCGGCTGATGCAGCGGTACAGGGAGGTACCCGAATGGTGGTACCTGACCATCCTGGCTGTCTCCTTCGTCTTTGGCTGCATCGCCGTGGCCCACTACGACACAGGCATGCCGATCTGGGGCCTGGTGTTCGCCATCGCACTGTGCCTGTTCGTGCAGATCCCCTACGGGATGATCTACGCCATCACCAACACGGAGGTGACCAACAACGTGATCGCCGAGTTCGTGGCGGGCTACGCCATCCCCGGAAAGCCCGTGGCCAACCTGATGTTCAAGGCGTTCGGGTACATCGCGTGTGCGCAGTCGATCCAGTTCGCGGCCGACCTGAAGCTGGGCCACTACATGAAGATCGCGCCGCGTGTGCTCTTCTCCGCGCAGGTGGTGGCCACCGTCGTCGGGGCGTTTGTGTCCGTGGGCGTGAACGCGTGGGCGCTGGCCAACATCTCCGACGTGTGCTCGCTCGACCAGCCCAGCAAATTTACCTGCGCCGGTATGTGCCCCCCTTTCCTACGACTCCTCCAACACCCCTAAACCCGCCCACTAATACCTTGTAATTTCAGGCGCCCGCGACTTCTACACCTCCTCCGTGATCTGGGGCGCCATCGGCCCGCGCCGCCTGTTCGGGGTGGGCCAGATCTACAACCCCCTGCTGTACGGATTCCTGATCGGCGCCCTCCTCCCGATCCCCTTCTACCTGCTGACGCGGTTCATCCCGCGCAGCAGCGCGGCCGCGACCGCCGTGCGCTACATCTACACCCCGCTCGTCCTCTCGGGGATCTCCAACCTGGCGCCCTACAACATGAGCTACGGCTGGCCGGCGTTGGTGGTGGGGTTCGCGGTGAATTACTACGCCAAGCGGCGGTGGGTCGGGTGGTGGGAGAAGTACGCGTACGTGTTCACGTCGGCGATGTCGTGCGGGGTGGCGATCGCGGCGATTGTGATCTTCTTTGCCGTGGAGTATCACGAGGTCGACATCAACTGGTGGGGGAATGAGGTCTCGTATGTGGGGTGTGATGATGCGGGGTGTCCGCTGTTGGGGATGCCGGCGTCCGGGAGGATTTAGTGGGCTGAGGATTGTTCCTTCGGGTCGATCTTGCTATGGTATGGGTTGGAGTCAAGGTGCTCAATGATATGATTCGTATGTATTGGTCTATGTGGTATAATCTAGTCTATATCTATATCTATCTATGAAGTCCAAACCAGGCCAGTAACAAGAAGAGAACGCTGACACAGGAGCCCAAAGAGGCAAACCAAACCAAACCAAAACACAGCATATATACACAGTCGGAGAAAACAATCACAATCCACAGACCCTACCCCATCAGCAGCAGCAGGCGCCTCAAACAAC